GCAGTACGGGCTTACTTGAATACAGCTATCTGAGGCTAGCTGTGTCTTACTGGCAGTTGCAGTCAGCCCTCTCCTGGAGTGATCCCCTTTCCTAGGTACCTAGCTATCTGAGGATAGCTATGTGATAGCTCAGTGAATGCTCCCCTGCCTAGGGTTTTAAGTAGCGGTCTCTTGAACCCTTGCCTAGACAGCGCTATCTCCCCTGCTAGGTTGTAAGTAGATAGCCCACTCTCTGTGGTCTGGGTAGTCTCAGTCGGTCCCCCTTGTGGTAGCCCCTTCCTAGGTACCTAGCTATTTGAGGGTAGCTATGTGCTAGCTCAGTGATTGCTCCCCTGCTTAGAGTTTTAAGTAGCGGTCTCCTTGAGCCCTTGCCTAGACAGTGCTATCTCCCCTGCTAGGGTTGTAAGTAGATAGCCCACTCTCTGTGGTCTGGGCAGCTTTGCAGGAAGGTTTTGCCTGGCTATCTAGGCTAGTTGTGTGTGGTTATTCTGGTCTACAAGCCTTCATAAGACCTTTAGGACATAGCTATCTGAGGATAGCTGTGTTCTAGCTCAGCAGCTATTTCTCCTTACTGGGATTTAAGTAGCTATCTTTGAGCTCCTCTAGAGGCTTTCTAGTTTTCTAGTCTCTTCAGTGGTCTTGTGTATCCAGGCTTATATGGCTCACCGGTTCGCCGTTGCCACGGCACAGTTTATCCCAGGGGGCGCAGCGTCTCGTTCCCTAGAAGGGGAATGTCAAGGGTTACGCATGTAGTCATGGTTCCCCGAGAGGAAATGAGACGCTGTGCCCCCTCGCCATGCCTTCGGCCTGCCTGTTTATATCTCCTTCAGACAGCTAAGTGGATTAGCTAAGTATTCAGCAGGTGCCCTTTTATACTCCTGGGCACCCTGCCTATGACGTCATGGGCTAGGTGGACCAATAGATTGCCGTTGTTTCACACGTGCTTCAGACACCAGCCATGCAGGCTGCATTCTCCAATGTGCCCCCTAGGGGGCGCAGCGTCTCGTTCCCTCTCGGGGAACCATGGTTACATGCATAACCCGAGATGATTTTGAATATAGATAGCCTGATTCAAGCAAGGAATGTAAAGTGTATCTATTATATTTGGAAAGGAAACAGTAATAAAATGAAAAAGATAAATAGATACATGTATATCATATATTTAAAAAAGTTAAAGCAAAATGTAAACACAAATTAGTTAAAATACATAATTGTACTCAAACAGTACACTTAAAAAAGAGTCTTTATCATTATAGCGTACAACAGGGCTAAAGGCATAACTTATGGAAAATCTGTTTTGATAAATAATTGTATTTTATTTTATTCAATAAATGCATTGTCATAAAATATGTTCATTTTAAAAACACAGCAAATAAACAAAATGTATTATCACATAAATTAGTGTGCCTTTAACCCCAACAGGTGCTTTTTACATCAAATACTATACTTTTACATGTTCTTATGTTGATTTAAAACTGTTGATTTAATTGTCTTGATCAAAATGAAAAAAAAAAACATTACTAAGACCTTTGTCTCAAAATAATTGTGATGATTCTCGTTTGTTAAATAAATTGATAATTTTTTAACAAAAACATTAAATAGTAGATCAATTTTGCACATAAATGACTTTGCGTTGTTGCCCGCATTTGCGTTAAGGATCAACATCTACACATGCATAGTGATTTTTTTTTGCCAACTAGTGTTTTAGAGGTAAATAATATCAAATGCATATTTTACCCTGGTGTGCCTTTATCCCTGTTATATATATATATATATATATATATTTGAAAATGATTTATATTTATTTATGTGTACAACTTTTAAATCAAGAAACATGCGTATTCACAAATAAAGCTACAGCCAAGATTAGCTAATTCTCTTGCAAAATTTTAATTTGACTGTTTAGTCAGTCTGTTTATTACAACCTTTCGTAAGAACACTACAACGTCACTCACCGCAGAATACAAAGAGGATGTGCTCGAGACCAAAGACAGAGAAGAACCATGAACTACAGACAGAACAGAACACAAGAGTGTAAAAAAATATATTTTTTTAATGCTACAACCGACTGTTTTCTAACAGACATCTGTATAAATAAAAAAAGTTATCGATGTACAGATGTAAATAAATAAATAAATAAATAAACTCTTATCAAGTAAAGTAACTGCAATGCTAACCTTCATCTGTGCTGTCCCGGAAGGAGCCGGACCGGCTCATCCCACGTGGTCGTTCCTCCAGCGAGGTGGCACTGCCCCCCAAAGTGTGTCCCTCCCCGTACAGCTCAAACGAGTCCTGTGCTGGAATACTGTTTGAGCGGCTCATACTGGTGCTGGGAAGATTATACTGCGACATACTGGTGGGGCTCACTGCAACACAAATATCAGGATGACACAAAAATATCATTCATTTTATAATATTTGTCCATGGTATAATGAGAAATAAAAAATTTTGGGGGGTTCTACCACTGAAAATCATAAATCAGATATGATAAATGTTAACATACGCAGGTTTGAGTAGTGGTATTTGCCAGTGTTGGTGCTGGTTGTGCCCGGTGGTGAAAGTGGACTTCCTGTGTCCTGCAGTCCTCCAGTGGAGTGAGAACGCAACCATTCCTTTCCTTCCTCATGTGACGTCTGTCTGGAAGACGGAGGGTACCTTATTGGGTGCAAACAGACTATTTTAGCCATTCCGTGAGGTAATAATATTTTCCCAAAATGCAATGCTTTTTCAAATAGTTTTTTGGAAAATAAATTCTGTTCCAAATATTGAGTCTATAAAACTGAATGCACTAAATATCTGGCTGTAAAAGGGTATAAAAATGATTTATGCAATAAAGCTTGATGATAATAACAGCCCACACAGTCTCACATCCATTGTTCTGCAGTAATAGCTTTAGGCAGTGGGCAGTCTTATCAGCATGCTTGAAAGACAGTTTCCATAAAACTAATAGAGATCACGTGGATCTTCCTGGCTGGACAATCTTCAGTGCTGACCTGAGCCTTTAGTATTAAAATACCATATTGTGACCTAACAGACTATAACTGATTTGATCACATTGCAATTTAACTGCAAATAGAAGGTCGCATGCAGCATTTAGGCTGTTTATCGTTCATCATGACTGCATGTCTCTTTTACAGCAGTTTGAACACAATAGTCTAACTTTATTTAAATGCTGTGCTTATCTTTGTGAATATTTAATTGCTTCTTAAGAGCATTGTGATGTTTTCCTGCTGTGGGTTCTGTGGTTGTCTCTTGCTAAAAGCATTAATAAATGGAAGACTGGTGAGTCACACGGTTTGACAAGTCACTGTGGATACAGTATGCAAAACATTTTGCCAACACTGCCAGCTTTGTGGTTCATTGTCAGAAAGTTGCTATGCAGTTGCTAAGGTGTTCTAAGTGGTTGTTTGGTAGTTACTTAATGGCTCAGGTCAAAAGAGTCCATCCCTAAGTCTCTTGATAGACTATAGATATGACTCAGGTCCTGCCTTCTATACTATTCATAACCATTCAAAAATTTGGGATCAGTAAGAATTTTTAATTTAAAATTTAATTAAAAGACTCTTTCTGAATTAACACAGTATACACAATAATACACAGCAATATTCTAAAATATTATTACAATTTTAATTGTACATTTTCAGCAGCTATTAACGGTTTTTATTTATTTTAAAATATTTTTAAATGTAATTTATTCCTGTGATGGCAATGCTGATTTTTCAGTTGCCATTACTCCAGTCTTCAGTTGTGCTGCTTAATATTTTTTAGAAACAGTAATTTAGTATTATTGTGGAAACATTTTTATTCAGGATACTTTGTTTAAAGGGGTCCTATTATGCTTTTTCACTTTTTTAATTTTAGTCAGTGTGTAGTGTGTATGTTTGGGCATTAAAAAGATCTAGAAAGTTACAAATCTCAAAGTCCACTCCAAAGGGAGATATTTAGTTTTTTAAAAATCCCTTTTCAAGAACTACAACGAACGGCTCGTTTGGACTACAGCGTTTGTTTTCCGGGCTTTGTGATATCACAAAGTGGCTCATTAGAATTTCATTACAAATAATTCCCGCCTACAGAAATTCGAATGGTTGGGGGGTGGGGAGGGGCGAGGTTGTGGTTAGAACGCTTGGTTGAGTGAGCGCATGAGACGAGACGACGAAGAAGAAGAGCTGCTGCAGAGTTAGTGCATCAGAGAAAATGAAAAAGAAGAGCTGCTGTGCTGTAGCATCACATTTTTGGCATGTCTAGAACAGCGGTTCTCAATTCCAGTCCTCGCGTACCCCCGCTCTGCACATTTTGTATGTTTCTCTTATTGCTTCATACGTTTGTTATATTTGACTGTAAGTGCCCTGCGAATTGGACATTACCGGATATTCCTCCATGATTCCAGTTTGAAGGGAGCTTATATGTACTTTTTAAATCTGGGCTGGGCTTACTTGTTTGTTTTTAATATAAAAAGTTCTTCTTTTACAAATGTAAAAGCCCTTTCACAACAAAAGTGAAATGAATGAGCCTCAGGCTGAAGGAAATGTAAATTCTTGTCTGTACAGTAGAGGGCGCAGCTCCAACAAATTGCATGAAGAATATGACGCAGGAGAAGAAAGTTCAACACTATTCAGCAATAACAAAAATGAAACACAAATGTGTCATTTTTGCTTAGTATGGTTGAATTGGATCATCGAAGGTCAGTAGCAAAGACATTGGTTAATAAAATGGGATTAAATACATAAAAGATATGTGTCTTATTTAATATATTTAATTATTGCAGGTTTTTATAATATTCTGAGTTTGCATTTGACTGTTTTTATTAATTTTGAGGAATACTGAATCTGTTTTTGTTCATATTTAGTCTAGAACTACAGTAAGCATCACGTTCACACAGCGCACACAACGCCTTTGCACCTACTCCCGATTTTTCTCAACATGGCAACACAAGAGCTGTCAGTCAATAAATGGTGGAAAAAAGTAACTGGAGTTAGGCTACTTATTTGAAAAAGTAACTCAGATATTTCCTTCTAAATTAAAAAGTAATGCATTACTTTACTAGTTACTTATTTGCGTTACTTGTAATGCGTTACCCCCAACACTGCTTTTGATTAATTTAATGCGTTTCTGCTTAATAAAAGTATTAATTTCTTTTCACCCATTTTACCATCCACCAGGTGAAAAATGTAGGTTTATTCACTTTGAAAAGTAATCACACAAGTCTCCTCAAAAAGCCTCATGATTAGAGATTTAGTATTTAGGGTTAGGGGTTTGTTCAAATCACTAACTTAGTGTTATAATAGTGATGCTTGCCTTAGCAAACACCACTGATACATAGATTAGCACACGTAGTGACAATTCTAATGCTAGTTACTCGATAGAGGTGAGAACATAAAAACATACTTATGAGGACAATTAGATGGATAGTGGTTACATTAGTACCTTAATCCCTTTTTGGGAAGAGTGTTTCTGTCAAGAGGCATGCTGTTAAAACAGAAGAAAAATAAGAGTGTTATCTATGACAAACAGGCAGATTTAAATAGCGAAGATAAAATCACGACTAATAGATTTTAATACTCCATTACTTAATTAACATATCATGTAATAAGCCTTTTATCACTCAACGAATACCATTTGCTGGATGTACTCCACTTACCCCTCAGAGAGGGTGGACTTGACGCTGCCTGTGCGGGTGACTTTTGGCACATGGTGGTGTGGGAGCGGCAGGTCTATGGACTCTGAGCTTGTGTGTAAACTGGTCATACTGTGGCAGCTCAGTGTGTCTTTACTGGCCGCAGATGAACTGCTGAGGTTTGGTGGCCAAGGCCGGGTGTTAGAGGGCAGAGAGAGGCCTGACGCCGGACTAGATGCCGGGGAGTCAGTACACAGGTCGGGCGTTTTGCCGTATAGCGGGCTGCTGCCTCCGCTCTGCCCACCCATGCTGCCCAGGCTACCTGTTCCTGAGGAGGGTGAATCCAGGCTGGCCTGCCGTGCCAGTGTGCCATGAGGGCTGCCCAGTGCCGATGGGCATTTACTTGAGTCAGGGGTGCCAGGGGAACTGGGTTTACTGCTGGCCTTACTGCCAAACAACCTGGGCAAAGTGATAAGGCAATAAATTGATCATGTACATTGTTGCATTGAATTCAGTTGATTTCACAAACAGTTTACACATGAAAGAATGTAAATGTAACCATGCAACTTCAATCAGGTGCATGCATAATTTAATTGGCCAGATTTTACTCCAACATAATCAGTGGTGGATCTGCCTATGGTTATCTCTGAAAGGCTCCAGCAATAACAGTTAACAGCCTGAGGTGATGCAAGCAAATCCAGTTATACACTTCGGCTTCACAGAGCAGAGGAGCGCAACACGCAGACATGTTTTTAAATGGACACACCTAATAATACAGAGATCAGTATGCTGGAAACATACATCTGCTTTAATCAGCTCTGAACTGATCTGATCTGAATGGCAAATCATGCTCCCTGAGGAGTGTTTCCAGATATGCACTTATACACTATAACCACCAGGTGGCAATCTGACCCTCGACCGTCTCATGCACAACTGTCCTCTGATGTGAGAGAGAGGTGCTGAGACAGACTGCTAAAGCTGCAGTGTAGGGATGGGCGATACCTCTTTATTTTATTTTCGATCCGATACCGATATTTTCAAGCCCAGTATCGTCGATATCGATACCGATACTTCTAAACTAAACTGATCTTTTAAATGATTAAAAGAATATATAATCAGTAATTATACTCACTTAATATTAGATTTTAAAGCCATGTTTTTTAACATTTCATCTTTTTTGTTTACACTTTTAGAAATAAAATATACTATAATTGTATATTTTAGCCCTTTACTGGGGCAGTAACCTCAAAGGTGCAACTATACCCCTAAAAGTGAGCATATTAGTACCATACAAGTATGCATGTTTTAAGGGTAGATAAGTTACAAAGGTGCACTCATGAAAATTTATTATTATTATTATCATGATAAATTTGTGGTTACTGCAGTTTTACTACAAATACTGTTTTCAGCATTTGCGTGTGTTCCGATGAGCAGGAGAAATGGTTCTATCCAACACAATTATTCGCTAATATAGTCTATTTTTCCACTTAGAAGCTTATTTTATGCACCGAATTTCTTGACAAGTAAATAAAATTCATGTTTTAAAAAATGCACTTTAGAATCGATATTTTTATGTGAGGATCGATCCTTTCGATACAACATCAGTATCGAAAGTATCGATACTTAAGGATCGATCCGCCCATCCCTACTGCAGTGTGATTTAGATTCTCATAAATGGGTTGCAGGTCTAATATGAGAGCAGAGTCACAGACAACAGAGAGATACAATGCTAAATGCATAAATGATAAAGTACAATTTAACTTATAATTGTGTAAATTAAACAGGATTAACTTTTTTTTAAAGGCTTTCCGCAACTTTTGTTGAGATGAAGGCTGTGTTCAATCAAACTTCACAGTGTTTTGGCACAGAATCAGTTTTTTAGAAGCTAAACAAATTAGCTAGTCACCAAGGACAGGTTGCATAACAAGACCTCATCCTCATAAACAATGAACAAAAGTACAAAAAAATTAAAGAAAATGAGCCAGACTACATTAAATATACAAATTTATCAGTTTGGTTTGTTCTCGCCACAATTTTGTTTTGTGCAGTAAATTGCAGCCTGTCATGAAACCATTCAAAATTCTAGACACATTTAGAAACCCAAATGCATTTTTTTCTTATTTAGATTATGCCATGGTTAATCAATTTGCATATTGTTGAGCCTATCTCAGTCCTATCCTCACTGCATTGGGCCATCCCTTGATGTCCACAGTGAAATCTGGTCCTGAAGCAAAACCAGTTAAGAAGCACTGATTTAGTTTACATCCTGGTCTATTTATCTGAGCTTCTGTGGGCTGCTGACAAGATTTCAGTTTGGATAAGACTAAAACAATGAGCTCTGTAATCCATCACAAAATTTCCTAGATCTCCAAGTTAAGCCTAAACTCACTGGCGAACCAATTCAGCAGTGCAGCGACAGGGGTGGATTTAGTGATTTTACATTTAAATTAAACTGAAGGAAATTATAAATTTACATGCTTAAGGATTATTTCAACCAAACATGAAGTGTGCCTGTGTAGAAAGTGACTGTGCATGGTCCTTCTTGGGTCTTTCACAAAAACGAGTGAGCGCCATTTCAAAAAATGAAAATAGGCCCTATATAATATGCACTGTTGCTTAGTATTAAAATTATAGCTTCAGATGCATGATATTTGTAGGGCCGTTTTATTTTTCCCAAATTAGCCTAAGTTTTTTTTTTTTTCCAAAATCTTTTTTTCCGTTTTAATTTTTCTGGATTCAGTTTTTTTTTTCTTTTCTTTTTTTCTGGATGATTATATTAAATTTTAACAAAAAACATGTCTAATTAATTAAAATCATGAAACTTGTTTAATTTAACAGCAATTTAGGACTATTAAAAGTTTAACAAAAATTACATTCTTAGGGCCCAAATTCTGCGCTTTCTTTTTTTTTTATTTGAATTTTTCTGTATTCCATTTTAATGGTTTAATCAAAAACATATCTAATTAATTGAATTAATAAAAACAACTTAAATTATTAATTTGTATACAATAATAGGGCCCTATAAAATTTTTATTTTATTTACTTATTTTTTTAGAAATTCTGTGTTGTGTATTTTCATTTTTCTGGTAATCAAATGAAGGCGAAAACATGAATATATCTTTATTCCAATGAAAATTAAACAAACCCTTTAATTTTTGTACATTCAAAATGCTACACAACAGAAGTTTACTGTGTAACGAGCAATGTCACGGAATTCATCAAATATTGAATGAATAAATCAAATGCAATTCAGTACACTTCAATCAAACCGCGATATGGACTAGTGTATGTGAATATTAAATGGCAAAAATAGCTACTACAGACGACAACCGCGAGCGTTGCGCGTGCTTAAATAGCAAACGAAACGCACGTCTGCGCCGTTCATTCCATCACATTCCGGGTTACACGGTAAATTCTGTTTTTATGAATAGATTCCGGGATTCCGTCCCCATTTTCTACATCATCCTACTTTTGCTAAGAAGCACGTTCAACGCGGACGCACAGACGGTTGTCGTGGTAATGAACACCACAGCAACCACTTGTGCGTCCGCACTGAACGCGCATCTCGCATATAAAAAGCATTTTAGGGGGCCCTTGGCTTTTGGGGGGCCCAAGGCGGTCGCCTACCTTTGCCTAATGGTTAAGTCCGCCTCTGTGCAGCTCAGCCCGAGGCAGCTCACATACTAAGGAAACATGCTGGAACGCTTCCTCCACTCTGGCCAAGAGGTCACGACATCACAGGAGTGAGCCAAACCACAAAAAGCAACTGTTCTTTCTTACTGTCTGCCTGTGTCCATTTGTCTCAAGCTAACTGCCTACTTTGCGTTCATATTTTAGTCTCATCTCTGCTTATGTCTGCCTTTTGTCATCTTTGTCTAACTTTTCTTGTCCTCCTATTACCCCAGTCATTTTATTCAGAAAGAAAGTCAGTTACCTGCGGAATGTGGGGGATGCAATGTCTGGGTATTTGGAGCCTGGCTGTCTGAGTCCAGATTGGGTGGACGTGGGACTGGATTTGGGGGAGGTAGACAACCCTGTTCCCTCCTGATCCGACCCTGCCACTTTCTCTTTATCAGTCTGGTTGATGGTGATGGGACTTGAGCGTCCTGAGCTTACTTTCCCAGGGTCTCTTCTCTTTGTGCTGGTTGGGGTTCCTACCACCCCTCCACTGCCTCCCGCAGACTTTCCACTGACATTTGAATCAATGCTGCTAGAGCTAGAACGATGCCCGCTGCGGCCCACCACGCTGCTTCCCCCACTAGATGACTTTGCTGGTCTAGGTAGGGAGCGATACTGGAGTGGAACCTTTGAGCCTCCACAACCTAACAAAACAGTGTCGTCCTGGTGTTGAGCACCATCAAGACTCGTCTTCCGCCCACTGCCAATTCCTGTGCCCTTCCCGATGCCTGCAGACTTGGGTACCTTGCCTAAAGTAGCAGAACCACTTGCCAAAGTTGCTCCGCTGGCTGTGATGAGGGCTCCAGTGGGACCTGGAATCTTCTTAAAGCCAAAGGAACTTGTGGTAGGCGGCCGACCAATGCCTGAGGGTGGCTTCTTCCCTTCATCTCCGCTACTCTTGCCCGCATCTGATGGTGAGCGCTGAATACTTGGACTCTTAGATGGGGCTTTGCCTTTCTCAGATGCTTTGGCATCATCTGTTTTACCTGTCAGCACAAAGATGTTTGTTGTGGCACTGGTACCTCCTGTTTAATCATTCAATACTGCTAGCCATGGGTGGCCAGTTCTTGCACATTTTTTGCAAATACTTTCACAACCCAATCAATCATCACCAATACAATGCAAAGCCACTCTGTCAAACACTGCTGTTCTAGCCAATGGCACTTCTTTGCAACTCAGCAAACAGCACAGTTAAGGTACTCTCAGCCAAAGTTACTTGTTCCTGCTGAGTATCCCAAAAAAGTAGCTTGACAGAGGTTCAGTTGTAAAAGTTGGCTGAGATAAAGAAAAAAAACAAACAAACACTCAACAGTCCCTTAAAGTTACCAAAAAGCCTCAACTCTTTTGATTTCACCTTCTCTTTGAAGCTACAATAAGCAATTTTCTGGAATACCATGCATAAAAGGTCCCCTACTGACAGATATCACTGAAATTGTGCAGCCTTTGGTTTTGTAACCAGCTAAAAGGAATCCTTTTCTTTCATGCTTCCTTGCAGAAACTTGCGGGTTCTATTTTAAAAGTTCTTTAGAGAACTGACATTTTTAACGGTTTTCTAAAGGGCCAAAGAGTCATTCTGAGGAACTACTGCTTCTTTTCATTTTTTACAACATACAACTGTATAAGAGTTTGATACCTGGTGTTTTGAGAGAGGTGGATGTGCCTTTGGTCCGTGGTGGTGTGATGCCAACCTGGGCACTCATGCCCTTCCTCCAGGAGCCTGTTTGAGACATGGACAAACCTGTCTTCTGGCCAACATCCTCACCCTGACATGAAGAGGAAGGGGATGAAGTCTTCCACTTGTCCATCCCTGGCTCCATATCTTCATCAACCTTCTTCAGATCCTCAGCACCAGCCCAGCTGCTAGCATCCTGCTCGGTATGTCTGTGCGTATCTTTATTTGACTGTGAATCACACAGACACACAGAATATAGCTCACACACAGAAATCTCACTTTGGCAATCCAGCTTACAGATGGCCAAACTTTTCTTACTAGCCAAAGCAAAATGTCCAAAACTCTCAGTCTGTTCAGTCTGCTACGGCCTACTGACAGATTGCTGATACAAAGCTATTTATAAAAATGTGTCTGTGAGGAGAAGAAATACAGAAGACTAGAGTGTATGAACACCTGTGCTGCTTTGCTCTTGCGAGATGAGATGCCAGAATACGTGGGTGGATTCAGATCATCAGTGCCGATGTTATCTAAAGTATCACTCAAACCACTGCTGACTGAACTACTGTCATCCCAGCTGTAAAGACAGAAAAAGAAAAGTGTGAAAAAATATAACCCTTTATAAGCAGAAACAAAAACAGCCAAAAAGTATAATTAAACTCATACTTAATGTAAGCTGATGGACCAACACACATTAGTTGACAAACCATGACTGTGTCAAATCATTCAGCATTAAAAATTACCCATTACTTACCATGCCTGGTTAAGAAATAGTGTATCACTAATGCACCTTTGTCATTTTTTAATTCAGTTAGGACATTATTTGTCTGATTTATGAGCATGTTTTCTCTTGTGGACACATTCCATTCGTGCTTTGGTTTTATCTTCTGTAAATATGAAGTTCATCCCCGCAAGGTTTGTCTTTGATTAGACCTTTCCAAACATTCCTCACAAGGACCAGAAATATGATTGCAATGCACGTTCATTCATATTTCAAAGCCCGCTATTGTTGACTCACTGTCACCATCTTATTCATATTAATTTGCTTAATTAGTCCACTGCAGCGTCGCCACTTCAATTCTCATTAACTATTGACAATATTTCTCTTTTCCCCAGTCCTTACGTTCTCATTGCTCTCCATTTACTAGACCATGTCTAATTAATGAAGGATATTAAACAGTAGCTTTGACACCCTCGACTTTGTTGACCCAGTTGAAAATCCTAAAAGAAAGCTGAGTGTGAATGCATATGAAGCAATTATTACTGCCAAAGTGGAATTGTACAGACTTGGCCCAGTCAATTGCAAACTCATGTTCTGTCTATTACACCAGATCAATCATATGCTGTTATTTATCACTTACTGTCTTTATCTCGTGTTGCTAAGCAAACTGTGTTTGATCATGTGTGTGCACACATATGTCCTCATATTTAATGAATTCTTCAGATCATTCAATATATTCACGTTTACCCAGGAGACGTGCCTGTCCAGGACATTTCGTCTTCTTCTTGAAATGTTTGACGAGCTAGTAAAGATTCACTCAACTTTTATAATGTATGCAGGACAGAGCGAGAAGGAAAGAAAAGTTTGAGAGGCTGAAAGCGACTGGATAATAACTGTGAGAGACCCCGCAGGGCTCTTAACACCAGCGTGTGGGTGTTTCTGAAGACTCCAGCATTAGAAAGAGGCTTGGTGGGTGCGAGTATGTGCGCAATCACTCTAAAAATATCATTATTGATTTTTCAACATCCTTGTTTCTCCCTTATTTAACTCCAGGAGCACTTGGCACATTTAGCTTGAGATCTGATACTGTTATATAATGATGTAAATGAAAGATTAGAGATGCCAAACTTTACAGTCTATTATACAACTGACCGGTTTCTTAAATCTGATTAGATGGGCATTTGAAGTCAATGTAACAAAGCTGATATATGCACAAATTCTATATTAATGCAACAAGTTCCTAAAAAAACATTAAGTAGTTTATATTACTTGGAAGATAGTCTCACTTGTGATCCTCCCAGTCTTTCAAGCATAATAATCATTATTGTCTATTGATAACATCAACAATGGTTGTGCCTGAAACTTGTGTCTAAACAATGCATTAGTTGGAACCTTTCAAGAGTGAAATGACTTCAGTATCTAGTGGCCTGATACACATTAGCAGCTAATGCTTTAACACCTGGGTAGAGTTATTGACTTGTTGGTGCTATGATGTGCTGGCAGTCCTGCATTCAGACAAATGTTAAATCAAGCTTAATACTGCAAGTTGAAGTGCAAAGTGTTGTAACAGAGCACCTACACAAATCAATAACCACCAAATCCTCCAATCCAGTTGACAATTTGCTAATATGCACTCTGCTGAAACCTTACCCTGCCTTTTGAGAGCTTTTTCTGCATTTGCCCTCCCACAATGTAACAGTAAACATCTAAAACTGTGGTACTCAAGCTTAGGTGGGCATCCTTTGCCAGTGGGACACTTTTTGGCAGGGGCTCACTGGTTAAGGTCACCTTGACAGTCTTGTTTCCACACACCCTTGTCCCCGCTGAGTGTGCCCACTGCTTCGAGAGAATGACATCAGCAGGAAAAGAGCACTGTCACTGTTATGCAGCCAGAATGGTGACTAAAGCTCTACTTTAAAACTCCACTTCACAGGAAGCTGCAAGCAGGAAACCGATTATCTCATTTTGGGTATTTATGTTAAAAATGTCTTTTTGGGTTAGACGGTTTCATATTATTTCATAATATCTTGAATTTTGAGAATTAATGCTTAAGGCCATGGGCAGCATTTCAAATATAAATTCCCGGTAATTGACCATGAGAAATGAACTGTGACAAATGTTATACAGTATATCGAAGCACATTGTCAGTGATGGCAAAATGAGCTGAAAATGAGTTCCCTTTAGTGCAGTTTAAGATAACATTACAAGGCTTTCTATAAAGCACATGACTAGAATGAGAACAGTTTGACTGTTTAAAAGCATTATCTTTTTTCTTTACATTTTCTTATGCTAATTCGGCAAAATATAATTGTTTGCTCTCTTGAACACATGGAAATTAACCTAAATATCAATTAATCAATTAATGTTTTAATGAAGTAGTGAATAATTACCTCAATATTTGACTAAAATTTGACACAGTTAATTCAGCACAATAGCCTTGGGGTGACTGTCAGTGAAAATCTAGGGTGGTACGTTTCTTTCTTTTTTTTTTGAGAGAAATGTGATGCCCTACAGACAGCGGTGGATCCCAGAAAAGGCAAAATATATTATAAGCAGTCCGTTAGGGTGGCAGGAAGCTCCACCTCAGCATACAAAGAGACAAACAGTCCACTTTTGAGTTATTCACTGCCATTTTACAGGAATATGCATGCTGTCTGTTCCAATCTTTCTTATTTAAAATGAATCATGATTCAGCAGAAACGTTTTTCCAAGCCTCGCCATGAATTATCCTTCTCTATCCCCTCTCGTGCACTGTAGGCTGCTATGCATCATGAAAAAAAAAAGCTAAAATGCTATGCTTTATATGCTAAAAGCCAATACAGATCAAGTTAATACAATCTGAGCACTAAGCTGTGGAAGAAGCAGCTGATTACCACAATCTGGTATGATTTACTGGGACTGTACAACATGATTCCACTGCGATTCAGTATAGTTTTTTTGTATCAACAGTCAGACCTAATGCTGCTAGCGAGATGAAGACCCCAGAGAGCTGCCCTAGAAGTTTGCCTATATGGGCTGAATATTTTATTGAATATTTTTCCTGTGCTGTTGTATTTGTGACGGGACTGACAGTCAGACCAGGGTTACATGCAGTCTCTGGACTATGTCCTTAGACACCGGTCCATTCATGACAGCAATTCCAGCCTGAGAAAACACACTTAAACTGCCTGCAATGTTTGCCTCCACTTGTGTCTTAAGAAGATGTCTTTTCTAGTTATAACCCATCCATAATTCACACATAATTTACATAAAATGTTTTTCTGACTGTTTTTGACTCACGCACTTGTGTTTGGTTGGGTGAATATTTTCCACAGATTGTTTTTTTTTTAATTGAAACACCTCACAGTATGAGTGCAGGCATTCACTTTACTTTCGTTGAGTGTGTGGTGCAAATGTCCATTCAAGCATACAGTAATATTCTCATGCAATATTCAGTGATGAAAGACCCATGCAACAATAACACTCAATAAAACTAGATTTGCATCCTGCGTGGATCAAAACAAATCAATTTCTCGATCACTAGCTGTGTCCATTGGTCTGTTAAATATGTTTCATGCTGTGGTGTAATTATGGAAAAGCAACATTTCAGAGGAAATTAACCATTGTCTGCATGGTTGCATAACAGTCCTGTACCTGTATATATATATATATATATATATATATATATATGTATATAAAGAACAAATGCTGTCATTTAAGTGCATGCATCCATCAGCCAGTCATTTCCACTTCTATAAATCAAATTAAACCCTCAAACAATAAATACAAGAATTCAAAGATTACAATAAGAAGTCTTAAGGACATGATGCCATGTTAAATATTTTTAATTCTTCACGATGCCATGTTAATTAATTTCAAAGAAACTCATTTACAGAAACAATGTCTGCTATCCAATGATCCCCAAAGGGAAAATTTACAGCATTTAGTCTTCGAATGTTGACGCTGATAAAACGACACACTGACAGCTTTTTCAAATGTACAATATAAAGAATAATCCAATTTAACAGAGTAAATCTTGTTAACATTCATCAAAAAACGATAACACAGTATTTTGTACTAAGCTGAAGTTAATATCTAGAGCTTCAGCTGTACATTACACCAAATGGTGACAGGCCTGTTAGAGTCACCAACATACCAAAGTATGTCTCAAAACCAGTGACCAGTACTGAGTGAGGCGAAAGAGTGAACACTAACTCACCGCCCTGCGATTGATGCTGTCTGGCTGTGTGCAAGCTGCCCATGTCATGCTGTAGCTCCAGGGGAGGAGAAATCAAAAGAAGAAAAGCAAAGGAGAGGGAAAAAAGGAGGGGAAAGAAGATAGAGGAAGAATGCAACCCACCTGCTTGGTTGCGAAACACGGGCTGAAGGGAAGAGAGAGACATCTCGCCACTTCTTACAGCTCCACCCCACCCCCTACACCTCACCCTTCCCCTGGGCCCATCATGCACTCTGAGAAATGCTTCAGACATCCTCAAGCAACTGGGGCGTTGCCAGAAGAGACAGACTCCAATCAAAGTCAGAGTCAGGGTCAAACTTGAAGTTGCATGCTGGGTAACACAAGGGAAATGATGCACAATGACCTTTATGCATTAAAACTTTGGGAAATGGAAATATCCAGCACATATTTATAAATTCTTAATGGTCCTGATTAAATAAATGCATACTGACCTTAACAAAATGCATCATTTAAAGTAAAAAAAAAAAAAAAGTGAATCAGTGGTTGTATTTGTACAGCTTAATCAAATCAGTTTGAAAGAAATGACCTTGTGGAGGCAGAGTATGACAATGTCTCTTATGAAATCAGGGACAGTCAAACGTCACTCCACTGGATTGAGTGAAAAAAATGTGCTTGACTT